GTCAATAATGTAAAAAAAAATTGATAAACATACATTCTATTCTAATTTGTTTTCATTTAATTTATTTGAAGGATTTTGTAAGTAAACAGATTTATTTTTCTTTTCTCATGATATTTAGGTTCAAGTCTGTAAAAACACAGAAAGCAAGAAATTAAAAAGAGCCTTATGGCGGAACCAGTTCAGTGCCGTTTTCACATCCCTGTTGCTACTTCCAGAAGAATTCAGTGAAGAGAAATTATTTTGTACCATTACGGGTTTGTCCTATTCAGGTTAGTTTTGCTTCACAATTTAAGATTAATTTTCATATGAATTTGCCAAATATTTTCCAATTAATTATAAAAGCAAACTATTTTGAAATCCAGAATCTAAATCCTGCCAACATTTAATAATGTATAATAATTGGGCACAGACTTTATTGTTATAATCGGCCAATAAAGCTTACTACTGTAACTTACCATAAATAATTGAATATACAAATGAGAGTAACTGATACCGGTTTACCGGGCAGCTCAGACATGAAGAGACGCTTAGGGGAGTGCTCTGATATTCATGGAATAATGTATGTATTGAATATAATAATACTGCCCTTGATTTGATTAAATCATTTGTTTAAGTTTAAAACTAGTTGAAGTGATAAAGGTAGGAGAATAACCCATAACTCAGCTTTATTGAGGTGAATTGCATGTGGGCGTAGTCTGTGACCACCTAGCCGCCATAAAGAGGTGCTTATGTTCGCATCATTTCACCACATCAGGGGCTGAAATGAACTATAGCATCGGGGTAACCCCCCCCCCTACTATTCCGAAAGATATAATAGGTTCTTTAAACTGCACACAAGCCAGATGTGTACACTGGACCTCCATTTTAAGTTCTTATCCTTGAAGACTTAGTTCTACCTACAAAACCTTGCCTCATCACTCAGCCACTCGACTCGATATACTTTAATAATTAAATATTTTTAGAGTTTTGTCACCGTTGTTTGCAACTGCAACTTTCCGTGGGTAATATGAAATGATGGCTATTCCCTCAGGATTGTTGATTCCATCATCATCTTTGTCAATTCTTTTAATGAAATTTCCATTTTTACTGAATAGCTGTAGTTTGTTTTTACATGATATAATGATGTTGTCATCAGCATCTACTACTACCCCATCTGGATTCCTGATCTTACCATTCTCATCACCTGCTTTGATAAGGACTTTCACCCACATACCCTCTTTATCAAAAAGTTGTAATCTGTGGTTGGAATACTCCAATATAAGAAGGTGACCTTCTTTTGTAAGAGTAACATCAACCATTCCAATCATTTTACCTTGTTGGATGTTACCTTGTGACCCTATCTTCCTGATCATCTCACCACTATCAATGCTAAGTAACACACATCTGGTTTCCCAATCTGCTACATACACAATATTTGATCCTTCATCCACATGGATACCAAATGGATTTTTCAGTACTTCCTTACCAACTGATTTTACCAACTGACCATTCATACTGCATATTTGGATGCATTGATTACCCCAATCACTGAATGCTATGTTACCATTCTTCAATTTTTGCATTTTGTATACCTGGACACTTCTTGCCAATGTAACTTTGCCAATATTTTCTCCTGATTGCTTGTACTTGAGTATTACATTTGTAGAACATGAAACCAACAAGCAGTCGTCTTCACACATAACTACATCTCTAACATAAATTTGGTTTATTTTTATTGTATTTATTAATACCGCCACTTTTTCTATTTTGACCATCATTGGTGACTGCTTAATAGCTTCACCATCAACATTCACATCCAGTTTGCAAATACCTGGGCGTAAGTTGTTTCCTGTTACAAAATAAATGCCATTTTTATCTTCTTCAATTTCAGTGGTGTAGGTTTCTCCTGTAGGATGTGTCCATGTTGCCTTTAGTTGATTTGCGTGTATTTCACATTCATCTGTTTTGATTATTTTGATAACTGTCTGATCTTGGCTCACAGATTCCTCCCTCTGTAACATTAGGCACTCTGTTACTCTTGCTGTATTTACATTCCTTATGTCACATTTTTGCAAAGAAGCACTTTCATTGTTTTTAAGTCCAGTTTCTGTCAACGTTTGGAGAACTTCTGAAATGCGGATTGGTTTGTGTTTTACTTCCCACAACTTGTGGCCCATAAGCGTACAATTTATACAAATTGAAGTTTTACACTCTGTGCAGTAAAACTCCACAGGTTTATTGTGAAGCAAACACAGTGGCAGGCATAACAAAGCAAAGTCTTGTGCAGACATTGACTGCACATTCTCCACTGTATGTAACTTGTGATTTGTTGAGACTGGTAGTGTGTTGTGACAGTTACTACAAGTAGAACACAAGTAAAGTCTGCATTCCTGGCAGTAGTTTTTTGCCTCTCCTTTTTCACAAAAACATTTCATCTCATCTCTTTTGTCAATTTGTTCAATAGTTTCTAATAAGTTAATCAGAAACGTGTTCAGTGGAAGTTTCTGAAGCCCGCCTTTTGGAATGGCATATGATTTTGAGCAGGTTGGGCACGTTAACTTACCCTTCCCCTTTTTAACCCAGTCTTCAAGACATGCCAAACAGAAACTATGGAGGCAGTTGAGCAATTTAGGATTTTGAAGTCTCTTATAGCATATTGTACATTCTAGGACCTTCTTATCAACTTCTTTCAGAAACTGATTCAACTCACTGGTAGCCATCTTGAACAATTCCTGTGAAAATTATTAGTGCATTTTAAAGAATAATAATTTCTTTTTTTTTCTTTGATTCCTTATTTGTTACGATAACATACATGTAGGATCTTACAAATACTAATTTTATACCGCCATGTTTTTACTATGTTGTTAAAAATGCCTTATGTTATTTTAAGGTTAACATTTACTATAGTTAGGGTAATATACAGATATGTTAATGAAATTATTATGCCGTGTGAGGAGCCTCCATGTGAAATATTGAATAAAAAAATTATTATTTTGTATCGGAATATATTCTTTAAAGCAATGAATGCACTATAAAAAACTTTGTAACTCTGAAAAAAAAAAGCTTATACTAAAAATATTGATAACTATGGAGGGTGTAATTCTAGGCATCAAAATAAACCCTTTCCCCTGAGCACTGAGCACATCCACTACCTAAAGAATGAAATCTCATCATTGTACCCTGTTATCTCTGGTTATTGAATCTAAACTAACATACAGTACTGTACATAATGTACAAATTCCTCTGTTGAGTATGGTAGACCTATTTGTACCAATAAGATTTCAACATTCAGGTAATCAAATTCTAAATACATTATGTTTACAAAAGGGAAGGTGTAGAAATGAAGTGTATATTTAAAAAATTCCTAAGGGACATGTTGCCTGCGAAAAGATATCACTTAACAAAATCTTAAAATTCCTTGATTGTAAATAATATTTTTTTTAGTGTATGGCTGTAAACAAAAAAGAGCAGTGCTCATAGCAGAAGGCTGAGCATCGTTTTATCTTAATAATATAAATAATAGTAATTATGACAAAAAACATGACCATAATATTAATAACCTTTATTATATTTTTATTTTATTTCATTCAATTCGGCAAAACAAGGCAAAGTAACAAAAGTAGGAGTAACAAAAGTGTTCATGTACTCATCGCCAAATCCACAAACACAAAACAAAAATAAATTATATGTTGAATAGATTTTTAAACAATTTTCTGTTTAAAATTACTATATCTTTCACAAATAAAAGAATCCTTAATAACAGATGGCAACCCATTCCAACTTTCCCATTTTCTATTCCTAATAATTTAGAAGAGCTTAACATTTTCCATCTTTTCAAAAATCACAAATTTCTGTTGTTAGCTCAAAAATAAGTCAGGAAATTGTTTCTTCATCACTTATTAATTTATTTTTGTATCATTGCATACAGTTGGCTTTATACTAACAGTGTTTTAAATCATTAAATAAAAATATCGTTACCTTTGTCCTATGTTGAGCTAATGTTCTACAGGATATTGAATTTCTCAGCTCCAGCAGAAGTGGGTTTTTCCACATTATTTTAATAATGTCACCTGAAATTGTTTGGGGTTCCTTTGTGTGCAATAATAAAGCAAAACTTGACATGATCAGTCATGCAGAAAATATTGACCAGCAAAATATCTATTTTGGCATATTGCCAGTCACTCGCATAATAAATACTTCCTTATTTTTAACATTATACAGTAGAACCATGTATATACCCCAATTTTATGGAAGACGCATATGGATGATGACATCATCAATATCTGTATTTTAATACTTTAAAAATATTATTTTGTTTCTGCATATTTTACATTAGTAAACCAAGCCAATGTTGCGTTTTATGCTGATTCCGTGGAGATTAATGCAACGGAATCTTGTCAATGACCTTTTGCATACGAACCACTAATTTTCATGTCCCTCAGCGCCAACATGGTTTTGTAACAGGCAGTTTGTACATCTCTTTGCTCTATTCATGCATGTGTACAAACATGTGATTAAACATTATAATTCTTTATAAAAATTTAAATTAAAAAAAAATTGTTTAACATTAAAAATATAAAATAATAACACAGGCTAGGTTAGATTTTCTGTAGGCGAAAAAACAGCGTGTTGCTCCACGTAGCATGGTAAATGGTCTTCCATTTCTATAGCACATAGTACTGTACAGTGCAATGTCTCTATGCGCTTTTTCACCCAGTGACAAGTCAAAAGAAAGTAAACAAGGAACAAGATGAACATATATTTTTTTGTTGAGTCACTATATGGTCAAAGGTCAGTACAATTTGACCTAACTTGGATTTTTCAAAAATCCCATGTTTTATGCATGCCGTTTGGTCCCTTGCCGTACGCATACTCAGGTTTGTTTTGACTTGTGCTTCAGATTTTAAGATTACTGTACTTTCTGTATGAATTGGCCATTTTCCAGTTAATTTCAATGACAAAATTATTTTGAGATCCCGAATCTAAATCCTGCCAACATTTTCCATAAATAATTGAACATGATAATAATACTGCCCATGAATTGATTAAATAATTAAATTGAAACTACTTTATTTTATTTACTTTTTTCAGAATCAAATCCAGAATATTATAAACAAATATTAGGTAATGAAAACTACTGTATAGACAGTCATCAAAATATGATGAGAGGAGCACATGTCACAATATTTACGTAAGAACCATTGCCACTTGGCAAACAGGTTAGGCTCTTAGTGTGTGCTCAACAATACACCTCACATCATTTTGCATATTTTCTACCCTAAAACACTTTTCAGGATATACTCAAAAAATGACGGAAATCTCCGAGATGAAAACACTGGCTCTTCAGTTTCTAGACATGTTTATCAGCAGAACTCAAGAGATATCATCGTTTTAGCAGTAGATATTATTATAAAGTGCTACAGTACATAGTGGTGCAAAATTATTTAAATATGTTGCACCAACCTCCTTGGTTGCACTTAACCACATCACAACATGTAATATACTGTATTTTAATAATTAAATATTTTTAGAGTTTTATCACCATTTGCAACTACAACTCTCTGTGGATAATATGAAATGATGGATAACCCCTTTGGATTATTGATTCCATCAGCATATTTGTCCATTCTTTTTATGAAATTTCCATCACTACTGAATAATTGTAGTTTGTTTTCACTTGCTATGATGATGTTGTCATCCTTATCAACTACAAATCCACATGGATTCTTCACCTTACCATTTTTTTCACCCGTGTTGACAAGGACTTTCATGGACCTTCCCTCATGATCAAATAGTTCTAGTTGGCTGTTATTATACTCTAGTACAAGAAGATGCCCTCTTTTTGTAACATGAAAATCACTGATTCCAAGATGACATTTTTTGATGCCTAGCGAGTGTATCTCCCAGATCAACTGCCCATTATCAGTATCAAAGAGGAACACCGAGTCATTACTATAGTCAGCTACATACACAACTTTTGATGCCTCTTCTACCTGTATTACTTCTGGAAACGTCAATACTCCTTGATCAATTGATTTTATTATGTGACCATTTATGGTACATACTTTAATGCATTTATCAAAACAATCACTGAATGCTATGTTACCATTTTTCAGTTTATGCATTCTGTTAACATGTGTGTTTGGTGGTAGCATAACCTCACCAACATATTCTCCCGATTGCTTGTATTTCAGTATTTTATTTGTCCTACATGAAACAAACAAACAATCATCATACTTAACTACATCTCGTACATTTTTGTTTATTCTAATGGTATTTATTAATCCTTTAATAGGGTGTGGCCATCTTGTCTTCTCAATTTTTGCTTGTGTTTTGAACTTATCATGTTTGGTTTGTTGACCTCGAGTCTCATGATCTGTTTTTAATTCTTGAAAGCTTACTACCCTGAATTCTGTAACAGTCCCAATATCACACTGTTGCAATGAAGAGGTTTGATTTTTGTGGAAATAAATTTGTCCATTATCATTTGGCTCTGTTTTTGGCAACTCATCTATTCTGTCCTTCAGTGCTGTAATTACTGTTTCACTTGACTGCATTGCTGTGGTTTCGTTACTCTTCAATAAGTGATTAAGAAAACTCAGTCTTGAATTTATATCAGATATTGTTGTTTTTAATTCATCTATTTGTGCATCATTTACCTTCTTTTTGTTTTCATAGATTTTCTTCACTTTTTTTTTCATTTTGTCTCCATTTTTAAACATTTTCTTTACCATTTTTTGCACATGATTGTCAATATCTCTCAAACTTTTATTTTTATTTTGTCCTAATTTTGTAGCATTTTGAATAACTGCTTTGAGGCCATCTTCTAAATTGTTTTTGCAGCGGTGTGCAACTTTCAGTAACTCTACTGAAGTTCCTTTGAATGTCTTAAATGCTTCAGAAATACTGATTGGTTTGTGGCCTTCATACACCTTGTGATCCAGCAGTGTACAGTTTACACATATTGGAGTATTACAATCTGTGCAGTAGAACTCCAAAGGTTTGTTGTGAAGTAAACACAGTGGTGAGTGTAACAAAGCAAAGTCTCCCAGAGTACAGTAAATGCATGGCAATGTTATGTCAAGTAAGTAGCCCCTGGTATTTAAGCTGAACAACAACTCCCAGAGTACAGTAAATGCATGGCAATGTTATGTCAAGTAAGTAGCCCCTGGTATTTAAGCTGAACAACAACTCCCAGAGTACAGTAAATGCATGGCAATGTTATGTCAAGTAAGTAGCCCCTGGTATTTAAGCTGAACAACAACTCCCAGAGTACAGTAAATGCATGGCAATGTTATGTCAAGTAAGTAGCCCCTGGTATTTAAGCTGAACAACAACTCCCAGAGTACAGTAAATGCATGGCAATGTTATGTCAAGTAAGTAGCCCCTGGTATTTAAGCTGAACAACAACTCCCAGAGTACAGTAAATGCATGGCAATGTTATGTCAAGTAAGTAGCCCCTGGTATTTAAGCTGAACAACAACTCCCAGAGTACAGTAAATGCATGGCAATGTTATGTCAAGTAAGTAGCCCCTGGTATTTAAGCTGAACAACAACTCCCAGAGTACAGTAAATGCATGGCAATGTTATGTCAAGTAAGTAGCCCCTGGTATTTAAGCTGAACAACAACTCCCAGAGTACAGTAAATGCATGGCAATGTTATGTCAAGTAAGTAGCCCCTGGTATTTAAGCTGAACAACAACTCCCAGAGTACAGTAAATGCATGGCAATGTTATGTCAAGTAAGTAGCCCCTGGTATTTAATCTGAACAACAGCTCCCAGAGTACAGTAAATGCATGGCAATGTTATGTCAAGTAAGTAGCCCCTGGTATTTAAGCTGAACAACAACTCCCAGAGTACAGTAAATGCATGGCAATGTTATGTCAAGTGAGTAGCCCCTGGTATTTAAGCTGAACAACAGCTCCCAGAGTACAGTGGGCCTATTTGCAACAATATGCACAGGCCCTACAAGAATTCTAAATGTATTATGTTTAGAAAAGCTAAGGTGTAGAGATACAGTATCTGTTTATGTTTACAACAGAAACACAAAAATCTTATAATTCTGCAATTGAACATAATGATGCTTTTAAAACTTTGACTTACAGTATGGCCTTCCTGTCATTCTTGGGAGTAACGTTCATTCTCTGTTATTTATCATAACATAATCAGTGCATCTGTTGATCACCTATTTTAATTTTATTATTGCCTTAATTTGGATTATTGATACTAATAAAATGTATATTTACCTTATGATGTTGAGCTGATGTTCTAAGATATAGACTTTCTCTGCTCCTGCAGAAGAGTGGGTTTTTCCGGGTTTAGTCATGTGACCATATACTGTACTTGGCTTGCTTTGTGAGCAGTCAAGCATGACGTAATTGCCAGCCATGCACAGTATATGAATAGATACAGTAAATGTATTCAATTCACTACCTGTTTTTTTTAAATTTATTTATTCAATCAATCCAAGAAATTACCCAGACAAATGTAAAAAAAAAAGAGATTTATGTTTCATTTTGTTTTTCCGGGTTTAGTCATGTGACATATACTGTACTTGGCTTGCTTTTTGAGCAGTCAAGCATGACGTAATTGCCAGCCATGCACAGTATATGAATAGATACAGTAAATGTATTCAATTCACTACCTGTTTTTTTTTAAATTTATTTATTCAATCAATCCAAGAAATTACCCAGACAAATGTTTAAAAAAAAGAGATTTATGTTTCATTTTGTTCCATAATTTCAACACAGATAGGCCAAATAAAATTTGTTTGTTTCACGTCTGGAATTTAAAATTAGTTTTTAGTGAGGGTTTCAGTTTCAGTTTTTTATTGGCTCTCACTTTTTCAACAGTGGCATACACTATACAGTGGTGCTTCCGAACTTGCTTAATTAAATAAAAGTGAAAACAAAAAATAAAATAGGTAACGAAAAGGTAAACAGAAACATCAGGGAATTAAACAAAAATTATTAAGAAAAGAATAACATCAAATAATACAAAATTCAACATTAAAATCATAATCAAGATTCAGTAAAAAAAAAAAAAACTATTGCTATTTATGTTGATGTTGTATACTAGTGGTAAACAGACTGGTAATTTTCTTTTTTCTTTTAATATAAAAGAATTTTATTTTCCAATGAATCATAATGTGTTCAGCTAGCTACCATTTCCACCCCTTCTTAGTCTTTGACAACAATATTTCAAATCATTATTTATATTTTCCATGGAAAAATGTTTTTTTTTTATGTTACAAATAGTAAATTTTTTCATGAGGCTCCAAAATTTGATACATCCTTTTATTACATGGTCGAAAAGATGTTTCTCGTTCTCAAAGACACACAAAGATACAATTTTTTTTTTAATTTTTAAATACAAGTTATAATTTAATTTAATAATTCTATGCGCCTATCTTGAGGGCAGTGATGTGAATCTAGCAATTAATTTTATTTGGCCTTATTTGATAGCAAGTTAATTGAAGGGAAAACGTCCTGAGCATTGAAATACAACTTCATGTTAATTACAGCAAATAGTTTAATGACTCTGTGTTTTGATTATAAAAAACAAACCCCTTCACCATCCCCCTCCCAAAAAATACCCCAAAAAAACAAAACAACTATTGTACTGTAATTTGCATTAAAAAATTTTATATCTGAGCATATAAAGTATCCACTACCTAAAGAATGAAAGCTCATCAATCTTCCGGTTGTCTTTCGTCAAGGTAATTCAACAGAAGGACGCACATCTCCGCTCTCGAACATAGCGCGTGCGTACAGTCCTTTGATCTTTACTGTGGCATCGACAATCCGATACTAGTTGCGAGTACAGCCGTCAATTATTAGTCTATGCGTGCCATTCATTTTATGGTGTTAGTTTTTATTTTATTAATTTTGGGTACTTCGCAATGTCTGTTACATCTGATTTTTTTTTACCGCGAGCTTGTTAAGTGCTTCTATAAACTGCAATTTGATTTGTGAAAATTGACCAAGAAAATTAAAAGTTTAAAAAAAAACGAATTTTATAAAATTTCATGTTCTTTTGTAACATTAATCTGTCATTTTGACAATGTTGGCATAAGGTGCCGAAGACGAACATTTGAGTATATACAGAACATTTATTATTTTTTTCTGCGAAGTGAGTCTCATGACCGACAATTCACCACAATTTTGGTAAAATTAACGTTGAAATGAAGAATATATTTCAGTCTAATGTAGTGCAAAATATCATTAGGCCTTTGTAATCACCGCACGACGCGTGATTATCATGGCAACTAACACGCACATGAGTAAATCGTCACATACGCTGACGGTTTATGGTCTGGTTGCTATATGGTTTTTGTGACGTTCAGCGTGTAGGGACGCACGTGCGCCTAGAATGTCGATGCCAGAGTTATAACCTTTGATGTTCCGAGATGTGCGTCCTTCTGTTTAATTGCCTTGCTTTGGTTATTGAATCCAAACTAACCTACATAAATGTACAACTTCCTCTGTTGAGTACGGTAGATCTATTTGCAACAATGTCAGCCAGCAACTCGTTGAAAATTTGCAGACACCAGTGTCTCTAATCTTGACTGCTATAAACTGGCCAGATTGAGCAAAAGCTTGGATGCAAATGACCAGAGTTTATCATACTTCCAGTTTATCTTACACTATCGTGTTTGGTATGCGGAATGGTATCTTGCATGTAAACATGTACAGGATAGAGTCAGAGTCCAGATTTAAGTTTGATGAGCAAATGACCCTGTTCATGTATATTTCAAAATGTACCAATAACATCATGGCCTATGAAGCCCAGAATAGCCTACAACAGGACTCAAACCAAAAATTACAGGTAGCGATTTACTGTTGCTGTCAGCATGAGTAATGACCATTCTAGGCTGAGAGAGCAGCTTAGCTCAGTCAGCTAATCTGGTGGTAGCCGCTGTTGAGTGCGCTGAACCGTGGAGATCTCTAGGTCCCCGGTTCGATTCTCATCACTGCCTCTCCTTGTGTTTCAGCTAGAGGGCTGAAATACAAGTTGCAATAGTGCACCGTCTTTCGGATGAGACGTTTAAGCCGTTGGTCCCATGTGCACGTTAAAGAACGCAGTACACTCTTCGGAAAAGAATAGGGGATTGTCTCCCGGTGTACTGCCCAATCACCACCAGAAGGACCCCACTGGAAATAAGTCTTCTTCTAGACTTTCGTGGGCTATCCTTGGTGTTTACACCGAATAAATCCAATCCAATCCATTAAGCTCTTATTGAATGTTTTTTGCTCACTAGGTAGTGTACTAATTTAATGCAACAACATGAAAAAGCCTACGGTAGTCAGTAATATACAAATAAAGTAAATAAATGAACGTCTTATATCTTACCACAACATAATTGTGTAAATCTAAACATTGACATGAACTTAAGAACCCATAATAATAGCATTTTTCCCAATAAATTTCAAATGGGTAGACCTAAAACCTTTGCAAGTGGAAACAATAATACAGCTAACAAGCTTGTATTTTGGTTGGTTGATATAATGGTAGCCACGAATTCCTGGATCCGTCACTGATAAAATTAAGCAAACATTGATGTTATATCCATTGTCGAGTAGTCACTCTTCAGTCAAATTTCTGGGGTCTGTAAAACTTAGCGTATATACTTACTATCAAATTATTAGATGGGTCGCGGCTAGTGTGTGAAATCAAAACTTGGGTCCCAAAGAAAAAAGTTCGGGAAGCGGGGCTGTATAGGCTAACACATGTAGGTCTGTGCTAATGAGTAGCTTTCAGCTGAAGTTTCTTCTCCTTATAGTTGACAATGTTAATAATTTATGGCCTGGATTTTTAGTGTCCTGTATACAAGGGCACAGATCTATTTCAAAAGGTGGGGGGACATTTCACCGTCAAGACCACACACCATGGTTGGGACTGAGGAGCTGACCATTTAACCAACTACCCAATCTCAACAGGGCTGTAAATACGACCAAGAATGTATCTGATGAATTCACCCCTGCACAGCTTCTACAAAAGAGAATCCGTCATCTGCAGTAAAGTGTAATATAATAAAATTAAAATGTCAAAAAAAAACAACAAAAAAACAACAACAATGAAACCCAGTGCCTTAGGGGTCATCCATTTTTTCATCACTGTCACAAGAGTGCAAAACATACTCTTATTTGAGAACACATTGCTTCACTAACTGGTTTTTCTTAGTCCTGCTTTTTTTTTATTGCACCATGTGAAATGAATAAAGAATGATTTGATATTGTTAACTGCTTTTGCTTAGCACAAACACACCTACTACATGCTGTGGACAATGACCAGCTAACCAGGGAATATGAATAAACATAATTAAGTATAAGTATTTTTCATAGATGGCTGTGTAACTTAGGGTATGTTCACACACACACGGCGTAAGGCTGGCGTAAGCCTGGCTTAGTGTACGCCTTTGTGTTTGAACCAGGCAGTGGCGTTACTTACCACTCACAACGCCACCTCCATGGCGTTATTTAGGCTACCTGCATACCCCAGATTAGCTAACACCACGGAGCTAACGTCAGTGATGCTTGAATAAGTTTACCTCATTTAAAGAAACTGACCAATCACGATTGCAATAGATTAGTTACTTTAATCTCTTTCCTGTGCTCTCTATAAATGAAATGGTAAAGGGGTTCTTTTTCTATTGCAGTTTTCTTAGTTTACAATGTATATGATTTGTTGATTGGTTTTTTAAAGATATTAACTTATTTAGACTGTCTATTAAAACATGCAACAATTGTTCCACAATGCTAGCTAAAAAATCAGAAGTAAAATTGTTCATTTAAAATACAATAATCATATAAGTTCACTTCGAACAATTCACAGATTTAAAAGTTTTAATGATGCACTGTAAATATTTTATTACAGTTAAGAACCTGTACATTATTTAAAACTGAAAATTATTCCCCCATAGGCCTATAATATTACTACTAGTTTAACGCCGAATGCCGTTTGGAATTTTAATCCGTGGATTAGCTTACGCCGGCGTAAGCTACGCCAGTCTTACGCCGTGTGTGTGTGTGTGTGTGAACATAACCTTCATTTCATTTTATTTTCATTTCATTTATTTATTCGACCAATACACATTTACAAAAGGTACAGTACAACAAAAATTATGGTCAGGGGCAGCTTAAGCAAAATTGAGATTGAGAACCTTAGTATACAAGTAAAAATAAATGAAGAGATTATCTAATTCAAAATAACTAGATTAGACTAAATTAATTAAAATATAGGGATTTGGAACCTACAAATACAATTCAGTTAACATTTCTGTATGATACTTTTTTGTATTGGATTGCCATGAAATAATAGAAATGAAATTTATTGATTTAATTTTCCCCTTATTTTTTAAAATACAATCTTTTTTTAGGTGACTTTAGAATGATCATAGGAGAAGACAAAGGAAAAGTAGCAAACATCGTGAAGCCAAATTTGAAATATTTTCGATCAAAATATGCCAATATACTGGAAACCCTTGAACATATGCACTGGTGTCCCAATACTGGATTAATACAGGTAACGTGTGAGGTTTTAATTTTCCAATTGCTATGAAAATGAGTTATTTAATTGTGAGCTAACTGATAAAATGTTAAGTTTTAGGGATAAAAGCATTTAATTAATAATAATGAAATATTAACATTAGAGGAATCTGACCGGGAATGGGGGGAAAAAGTCAACATTTACAGGGGATCAACCAGGGTCCTATCATATACACAGCTGATGCCAGCACTTCAAAATTCTCATATTCACTTCTGAAAGGTTGTTGAGAAAATAACTCTGCATCAAATCTCAAATGGGTAACAAGTAGTTTCTATCCTCTGCACAAACACTTGTTCTCTTTCAACTCTGCATATTAGGTATACTTTCTCTCATGCACCTCTTGGATATTGTACTCCCAAGGAATTCACTTCCACAAAGACCACTGCTACTGCCATGTGGTGAAGCTCACCAAATGGCAGTATCAGGCCTGAGAGCTAACCACTAGACCACATGGTTTGTGATTTTGAATTCATTACAAATAACTTATTTCATTACAGCAAGACAAAAGTGCAGAATGTTTGTATTCTCATCTAAATCGACTTCCAATGAATCTCCAGCGTACAATTGTTAGACTAGCAGATGTTAAAAGATGCGGGCATGATCAGACTGTGCTCAGAAACACGGCTCAGGACCATCAGCTGTGCTCAGATTATGTTGCTAAGGGTGTGTGATTTCTTATTAATAATCAGAATAGTATTAAATTTGGTAAGAAAACAACTAAGCTGATATAAGAATTAATGTAAAAAAGTATTAAATAAGCATTTCAATTAGTTTCAATTTTAACATATTACTGTTATTGGGAATTCATATACTGTAAGTTTTAAAAGACTTAATTTTCTTTTTAATAATTAAATTTGCTTTAATGGATTTTTTTATTTAAGCTGTAAGGCAAATTGTTGCTTACACTAGCATTACACAGAGTATTAAAGGGATACTAACAGGAGGTGAGTTCATTGACATTAGTTTATGAATCATTACTAGGCACTAAACACAGTTTAATGAACACTACCCCTGCATCCCATGGGTGCTTAGGGTGAGGTTATGTACCTATCCCTGCATCTCCTGTGCACATAGCTTGAGGTTCTGTATCTACCCCTGGGCACATAGCTTGAGTTATGTACACATCCCAGCATCTCCTGGGCAAATAGCCTGAGGTTTTGTACAGTAGCGGCTCTAGGATGTATTTTCTGTGGGAGGCTAAGCTGTCCGAGAGGGGGACTTGAAATAGTATGCCCGGGCTGGGGGAAGGGGTTGAGAGAGGGTTCCCACTCCCAAATGAGATTTTTTTTAAGAATAGCAACCTCTGGATGGCCGGAAATGGCCATCCAGAAATCCTGTCTGGTGGGGAACTTAAGCTCCATGTCCCCCCCCGCTGGTACCGCCACTGGTTCTGTATCCAACCCTGCAGTCCCTGGACACTTAGCTTTAGGTCCTATATCTTCCCCCTCCTGTAAATAGCAAGACAAATCTGGCAGCCTTTTTCAGGTTTGCCCAGATGTCCTTTGCATTCCTAAAGCAAGGAAGCCTAGCACTAGACCAGTTCAAAGGACATGGGGTAATGACTCTACACCCATGTTATGGCCGACATCTTCTAATACCACTTCAAAATTTGTCTCAGCCTTTTTGCTTTCTGTCAAGTTCTAACTAGATTTAAACCCTAAACATTACCTTCTTTATGTATGTTGTTAATGTTCATTTAATATTTATGATTCACATTGGTACTTTATATTTCTTTAGGGATCCAGAAAAGTATCCTGTACAGTGCAGAAAAACTGAAGAAGATGTGGAAAGGAGGAAAAACATCATGATCAGCAATCTGTACTCATATCCATATAAAATAAAGTAAAACAGTGAAACATCGCATCAAAGAATAAACTAAGACCAAAGTAACGTGGTATCGTTTATTAACCGTAAAATATTAAGAGAAAACAAAGAAACCCTTAAATAATAATCAGAGAAATAAAACAATTAGTGTACATCACTTGCTCTGCTCTACTACTACTACTACTACTCCTCTATTGTTTTACAAAATTAAATTTTGGTAACCTTGTCTAAATCTGTATTTTGCTGTATTGTTTTTATTTTTCAATACTCTGACAACATTTGTTGCTGTTGGATGGAGAACAAATATTATAAATACAGTTTGAGGCCACACTATGTTTATATTTGTTGATTATAAATAATAAATATTTATATAAAGGAGCCAAATGTGTATGGTCTATATTGTTCTATAAGCTGTATTCACACTGTCACCATGCCTGTATATGGTGAATTTGCCAAAAAAAAAGCTGTATTCACACTGTCACCATGCCCGTATATGGTGAATTTGCCAAAAAAAAAAACTTGCCTATTCAGAGGTTCCAGGATTTCAATAAATGGAAAGGCCCATGCGTTTGCAATCTGATAGTACATTAGAAAATAGGCTCCCAGCGGGAGCGTGTGTCTACTGCCTTATACAGGAGTTTTTGTTTTTTAATATGCAGATGTGTGTGTTATTGTAGTGTATCTGGATTTTTCATGAAAATTTTCTTTCATAACAATATTCTGTGTAGGCCTACTACTATATTACACTAAAGTGTATCTTATCTTATCTTAAAAACACTTTAAAACACTTGGAGTTACCACGTTATGTTGTTGATCACGAATAGTACTATAACATGTTCTAGAGGGCGTCCTTCAAATGACGGTAAAAGGCGTTCGTGACGAATGCATGCTGCGTCTCTATAACGCACGTTCGAGTTCCGAACGCTATGCGTTTGTCAATAGAGCGCCCCCTACCTCGTGGTAGTAGTACCCATCATGCCTAAACCAGAATTTCCCTTTTCAACCATCTTTAATTGCTACATCATGACATAGTGCCTACGCCACCGTGGGGGGCAGTAGACACAAAAATAGAGGGAGCAACACCTGCGGATTTAAGCACCCATATGGGCCCTGTATGTCCATCACTACTGATGATGATAATGTTAATAGCGGTGGTGATGAAGATGGTGACATTCAAAAAACTATTTATTGACAACTGTCATTGTCCTTTTCTAACAAAATTATGCAGAAAATATGACTTGACATCATGCAGACAACCTATATTGTGAATTTCATGGCAAAACATGAAATTGTTTTATTTTTATTGTCATTATCGTTTTTTGGCTCTTCCTTGGTAAAAAAAAAAAAAAAAAAAAAATATTTGCGAAAAAAAAGAGGCCACCCCAATATTTTTGCAATTTTGTCTGATTTAGGATTGGCCTTTACAAAATTATTTTATAACCAAGTAAAATATGTATGGTGAATGACAAATTAGACCGTCTTGAAATAAATAAGAAAAATAACAATAACTAGTTAATTAACCATTTATGTTAAATTATTGTTTCAGTTTAGCGAGTAATGGTCTGTTAGCTTCAGTATGAAGAAACTAAATTTCGGTGAACATACAATAGAGTTCTAGCAATAATAATAAATAATAATAATAATAATAATAATAATAAATATGCAATGAGTAAACTCTCATGATGATCTTCAAAGGTTTAAAAGGAATTGCTCCAGCTTATTTTTCATCAAAATTCATTTTTTACTGAGGATAGTCATAACAAATGTACTGTACATGTAATAAATACCTTAATTTTACCCAAAAAGTTGATAAAACAAGTAAAAGCACTGCAAAAGGTACAATAATAAAAATACATGCAATACATGTCAAAAACATAAAAATGAGGAAATATTTTTTTTTGGTCTTTTTCTTGTATTTTTATATTTTTGACATGTTTTGAATGCATTATTGCAAGATACCCAAAAGAATTAAGGAAAAATAATTACATCAAAAATTTGAACTACATATTATCTTAATTAATTATTTACCAAAATTATTAGAATTTTAACCTACAGTACAAGTAAAATTCAGTTCACATTTCTGTATGGTATTTTTTGTATTGGATTGCCATGAAATAATAAAAATGAAATAACTATACTGAAATTAATGGATCAAATTTTCCCCTTATTTTTAGGTGACTTAAGAATGATCATAGAAGAAGACAAAGGAAAACTATCAAACATAGTGAAGCCAAATTTAAAATATTTCGATCAAAATATGCCAATGTACTGGAAACCCTGTGGACATATGCACTGGTGTCCCAATACTGGATTAATACAGGTACCATGTGAGGTTTTAATTTTATTGGTATTTTAATTGCATGATGGGGTGCTAATTTCCTATAGCCATAACATGAGTTATTTAAATGTTAGCTAACTGAAAAATATAAAGTTTTAGGGATAACATGAGTTAATGAAATATTAACAGGAAAGGAATTTGACAAAGAATAAACAAGACTAATATTACCTATAAAAAAATGCCACAACTTGTGTATGGGCATAATATGACACCATACCCTTATATGGATGTGATATGCCATAATCATGGCCATATAAATATACATATACTTACAGTCGTGAATGCATACAAATTTATTTATTTATTTATTTAAGCTTTATTTAACCAGGGGGTATCCATTCAGTGACTAGCACTGCTTGTCAAGGAAGCCCTGGTACATACAGTAAATATAACAAATAACGTTTACAATCATGAAATTCAAAAGTAACTAAAAGTAAATCAAAAATAATGATTAGATAGCCTAAAACAGAAAATGAAAGCAGACAAATGAAAACTACCAAACCAAAATTAAACAATAGGAATGGTACTGTACAGTACAATACAGTGCATTATTACTGAATAAAGATAAAGGCCTCTTTTTAAAATATATTAATAGAAAGAGAATCAAAATTGTTGTGAATGTTGAGAGAAAGATTGTTCCAAAGATGAGCAGCTCTGTTATGAAATGTATGCTCACCACAGTTTGAATTTGCATATGGAACAACTAGAGTATTTGATATTTGATTCCTAGTAGGGTAAGAATGAAGAGTGGGTGAAGGTGAATTTAGAAGATAGATATTCAGGGGTTTTACCATTTAAACATTCAAACACAGTAAGTAAAATCTGGCTTATCCATCAATCATAGTTTAGGCCAATGAAGTTTATTATTCAAATAATAGGTGATTGATGACTGAAGTCATGCTATTTTATAGAGGAAAGCTTACACTATTAAGAGGATCTAGGATTTTAATAAATGAAAAAGTTCATACATTTTGAAATCTGAAAGAATGTTAGAAAATAGAGGAAACACCAAGAGTGGATTAAGAGCCTGTGTCATGTCCATGATCAGACGTCTCTGATTATGATAATGTTAATTGAACTGATGATGACAATGGTGACATTCTAAAAATATTTTCCATTTCTAACAAAATCATATAAACCACAAAACCACACAATATGGAAAGGAACACTCAAAACCCTTCTTACTCAGACCATACAGTAGGTGTTTTGATTGACACTTCATGCCTGACAGGAAAATCCTGGATCCACATCTTTGGTAAGTCTATTTCTGTGGTAAATTTTGAGAAGACCTGTCAATATAATTTATTTTTATCCAAACTCCTTTTCCAGTCTTTAGTGTGCCTCTGTGGAATTAGTCAATTGCATTGGGCATATCTGGGGGTGTCATCATTTCTTTCATGATTCTGATGTTATGGAATCAGACTATAACATTAATAATTAAATATTTTTACAGTTTTGTTGCCATCATTTGCTACTGCAACTCTCCTTGGATGATGTGAAATGATGGATAATCCCCATGGATTGTTGATGCCATCTTCATCTTTATCAATCCTTCTGATGAATTTTCCATCACTACTGAATAGCTGTAGCTTGTGATTACTTGTTATAATGATGTTGTCATCCTTATCAACTACTACTCCACGTGAATCACGCACCTTGCCATATTCATATCCTGCTTCAACAAGAACTTTCATAAACTTTCCGCCGTTATCAAATAATTGTAATTTGCTGTTTTTAATCTCTAAATCCAATGCAAGAACCTGTCCTTTACTTGTACGTGCAATATCAACAACTCTTCTCATTTGACCTTCTAGGGTGCCCTCTATCCCTATTCTTCCTATCATGCTGCCACTATCAATGCTAATCAAAATTATGCATCCACCACTGCCTACGTACACACTCGATGATGCCTCATCCACATGGATACCCTCTGGAGATCTGACTCCAATTGATTTGATCACATGACCATCCTTATTGCAAACTTTGATGCTTGTAGGGCTACCTAAGTTACTAAATACAATGTCACCATTTTTCATTTTGTACATTCTGTTAACTTTCACACCTTGTGGTAGAGTAATTTTACCAATATATTCTCCTGATTGTTTGTATTTGAATATTTCATTTGTCAAACAAGAAACCTCCAAGCAATCACCTTCACACTTCACTATATCTCTGATAAACTGTTGGTGTATTTTAATGGTGCTTACTAATTGTTCTTTTTCTCGTATGATTACTGTTTTCTTGTTTGTTACTGTTTTATGTGCCACAATATGAGAGCCATTGATACCTTCTTGAACTTGACGGCCATCAGTTATTCCTGTAGGCTGCTTCCTTGGAACCTGGGTCATGGATTCCTTTCCCTGTCTTAATGTTAGACTGTCTGCTTCTCTCGCTTGTGTAGATATATCTCCAATCCAATGAGTTTTTAGTGAAGCAATTTGTTTTTTGTTAGGAAGGAAGTAGATTTGTTCATTATCGTGTGGCTGTGTTTTTGGCAATTTATTCATTCCTTCTTTCAGTGCTTTAATTACTCTTTCACTTGACTGCATTGCTGGTTCTGCTGCATCATTATTATTTAATAACTGATTAAGAATACTTAGTTTTGTACTTATATCAGATATTGTTGTTTTTAATTCATCAATTTGTACATCATTTACCTTCTTCTTCTTATTATAGATTTTCTCTACTCTATTTTTCATGTTATCTCCATTCTCATGAATTTTCTTTACCATTTCTTGCACATGATTGTCAATATCGCTCAAACTCTTATGTTTACTTTGTTCTAATCTTATAGCATTCTGTTCAACTGTATTCAGGCCATCTTGTAGTTTATTTTGGCAGAGATGTGCATCATTCTGTAATTCTTTTAACGCCTGCAATGCAATTGAAGTACCGATTGGTTTGTGTTTCCCTTCCTGTTTCATCTTTAAAGGCTCATTGCGATGTTGCAATGGTTTTACTGACACTGGTGGTCGGTGCAATGATTTTGCCTGTTTGCAGCTTTGTAATTGCACATTGTCTATTAAATATTGTGTATGGTTTGCAAAAAGTGGAAACGTCTTATGCTTGTCACTACAAGTGGAGCACAAGTTCTGTCTGCAATCCTTACATACATATTTTGCTTGAGCTTGATTGTCACAATAGCATTTCATCATATTTCGTTTGGAAAGCAATACTTTGAATTCCAAGGCTATCTTGAAAAATCCTGTGAAAAATTACAAAATTTTGTTATATTGATTATGGGCAAAGTTGGGCATTTACGAAATACTTGTGTATGTATATATATATATATATATATATAT